ACAACGATAGACAAAAGTAGTTTGCAGACAATATTAGTATTTGACGACATTTCTGGTTAAAGCCGTAAAACTGAGATGGGAAGTACATTAAATTACTAATTTTCTACCATATACAACTTCTAGGTTGTTCTGAGGTCACATATCCCTAATTGACTGACATCGCTATGACTTATATGGCGTTATATGCTGTCGCAGGTTAAAAAAATGCATCAGAAAAATTACCGTATTGAGTTTCTCTGAAACATTTCATCAGGAATAAATGATGATAATATATATATATATATAACTTGATTTTTATGAAACCATTGTTTTTGCACAGAAAACCAAGGAAAGGCGACCTTCTGGCCGACACCTAACACCCTGAAAAGAATATTCTCTGCCGCTACATTACGACTGATATTTTCAAGCCGGCTATAGCTCTTCAACAATTCTAAAGATAAACTATCGCATTTGACCACCTGCTCACGTGGAGCAAGATATATGGGTCGTTTGATGCGTGTTTTAGAGTCAAAGAATAATGATAATAATTTCCTTTGTTCCAGAAACAGTACTTGTGGTACAGTGTAGAATTTTCAGCACATATCTACAATATTGCATCTAATAATATAAAACATTTAAAAGGATTATTTCAAAAAATGAATATAAGAAACAACAACAAGAAACACAAAATACCAACAACAACAATAAATGCGAAAAAATATCAAGAATTAGAAAGGAAAATAAACAACATAATAAGTAATATCTCAGTATTCGGTAGTGGAAGCTATGATATATTTATGCGTGGTGAACAGGGAAACTATGTCATACTAGAAGTTATGAAATGATATTTAAGAATGTTTATCACCAAGATGATCAGTTAATTTGATTGAACTACACTAAACAATCATAAAACAAACATTTCAGGGTTTTTTATTGTCAGCACTAATGCAGTGCTTGTAGTGGTAGCGTGAGTAATCATACACAATACAAATTTTTAAGATGGTAATAACGGCATTCACAATCAAGATTGTCAGTTATTATTACCGAACAAAAAACAACTACAAAACTAATATTACATGATGGTTAATAACAGGATAATTTTGTAATACTCATAGGGCTAATATAGTCGGAACCAGTAGATACACAAAAGAAGGAATAGAGTAAAGTACAAAGAAGTAAGCCAATATTAATAATTTAGGTAGCTAAGTATGTTTAAGAAGGTGTTCGCTGTAGAATACAAATAAGAGAGGAATAAAAGAGGCAAAATTATGTTATCGACAACAAAGGAATTCATAGGTTTCGCACTTAACATTGTCTCTGTCACTTAGAACACGGGCTGGTCAAATATGGTATCGTTGATTTCCTATACTTGGTTGTACGAGCATATACTATTTTGTACTGATTTCTGGTTGTACCTGATGAAGTGCAAGGAGAGGGTTGGGAATAGAGGGGGTGTTGGGGGTCAGAGAGTATGGTTTTAGAACATTTTTCGCGTGCATTCAGATGCCTTTCTACTAATGTAGTGACGAGCTGACTGCGTTTTACACCACCAGTCCTACTAACTACCTTCAATATCCTTCTCAGGATGGTATAGTCAGTCCTTTTTTAGTAGCCCATGAAAGACTAATGAGGAGCAGTAAAGTAGAATAGGTAAGATACGAGAGTTGACAAATTGTGAAAGTAGAGATTGGGTGATTCCAGATAGTCTGAGTTTCCTAATGTAGTAGGCTAGACGGAACACTTTCTTAGAATATTATCTATCTTTCTAGACAACGGAAAGGTAACAGTGAATCAATAAGGAGTGCTATAATTAAAAACATATATTCAACACTAATCACTCACTATGCACAGACAATTCATTCAGAGTCATCTACAAAGTCCAAAGAAGCCTCCTGAAAACAGTGAGCTTCTGCATACTTTGCATTACCAAGGCCTTAGCGATTCGGATAGAAAACCACGATTTATGTATACAGAAGAAACTTCTCCACCCCCCTCCTTCTATCTTGAGTATGATTTCAAATTATACTACTTTTTTAAAAGGGTTTTTTTTTAAATTTGAAAATTTTTTTGTGACATTTTAGTAATGCCTTTTTCTTAACCAGCCCTCTATTTACTGCTTCTTTCTTTCCATGCTGTTTCACTAATATCCTACTTTTCTCGATGTCTTTCATAATACTTAATCTTTGTCAATAATAATCTTCACCCCCTTAGCTATAGTTGAGTATTCTTCACATTTCTGAAATATTTCAATGACGTAAATAACAACCCTATCTAATTTTCTCAGGTCTCAGTTAGACTGGGCGCATCTCTAATGAGCTCCACTTTAAACGAGTGAATGCGATTCGGCACCGAAAAAAACGCTGTATATAAATCTGAATTTCAGGAGAGATTTGGCAGCCAACATCCTGAAGAGGAGAATATCCAGCTCTTTAAAGAAGACCTTCCCTGCAGAAATACTAAGGTTGACATTCTCCAGCAGTCCAATACTTTGAAACAACGCAAAGGATAAACTATCGCATACAACCAATTCAATGTACAAATACCAGTTCACCTGCTCATGTGGAGCTAGGTGCATAGGTCGTTGTATGCGCATCCTTTCAAAACGTGTTAGAGAACATTGTCCAGCGTTGCTACAAAGAGTAGGCACCGGTTCAATCAGAAGTACCATTATTAAACACTTGATCAACACCTCGCACAACATCTCAGCTGATTCATTCAGAATAATTTACGAAGTCAACAGAAACTTACTAAAAGTAGTATGTTTTCAACTTCTCTGTACTACAGAAACCGTTGCAATATGCATCGAAAAGCCGAAGCTGTGTGTTTAAAAGATATTAGTCCAACCTCTACAACTACCATGACCGTAATTCGATATGTTCCCTGAGCTTCCGTTTCTTTTTTTCTTCTTTGTTCGTTCTCTTTTCCCTCTTGACCTTTTTTTCGTTCACTGTGTGTGTGTGTGTGTGATTCTTACTCCCTCTGTCTCCATTCAATTCCTCCTATTTTTCAGCCATAAAAATAGTTAAGTTTGTTTCCATGCTTTTCCTGCTCACATTTATAATTCGTTTAAAAATTAACTATTTTACAATTATATCCTAATCCTGTGTAATTTTTGTTTCTTAGGCTCTTGTAATCTGTATTTACATCTCCTAACTTCCGTTTCAATCTGGAAATTATTATTTCACTTTTGTTTCCTTGCTCATTTTTACACCCTTAATATCCGTACTAATCCTGTGCGTCGGTGCTACTGTGGTACGGACTCTCTCCAGCCATGCACATGGTCTGAGGTTCGATCCCCTGCCGACGTTACACTTGATATCATTTGTCGGCCTGCAAAATTTGGGCTACCGATATCACATGCTGAAAATTCCATACTTGTACAAAAAATACAACGAGGAAACAAGCTGTAATCAAAAAAATAAATAAAATAAACTTTGTTTCTAACATCTCTCGTAAACCATTTCTAGTTGAAAATAATTATCACCACCTTTTATTCGCCCTCGTACTTATGTGGAATCAAACAAGAATTTTATCCATGTAAAATTATGTATATAAATGCGATTGTACAGCTTTTCAGGATGAAATCGCCGTAAAGACAGATATCTTTGCTGAACTTCGTGTTCTCTTCTTCCTAATGTGCTAGTGGGTGCTTTCCACAATGTTAAACGGGTGAAACAGCCATCCGATGTTTAGGGCACTTCGATATGGATAGCCAGCTGGGATAACAGGTTGATGTGGGTAGTATACTACTACTATTCATTTCAGCCAATCATTAGTATGTAGCATCATGAAAAATAACTCTGAAGTATGGCTTCTTAGATTGTAAAATATATCAAATGGAATTTCTGCTTCTCTCTCTCTCTACACTACTTCGTGAGGTAGAAATATTTCTTGTCGTTTGTTAATGCGTTACCAGTCTTTTTTTTAGTTTTGTACATTCCCAGTGGAACACAGGACTTCAATCTACAGGCATGAAGTTTCTGTAGCAGTGGAGTTTATTTCTACAGGATGGGGGGTTGGTAGCCTCCATCTTTAGCAGTCTTATTACTGACTTAGGGAGGTATAAAAAGTGCGTCGCCTGTGGATCGAACCCTGGATTACATGCGTGGTTAGTGGTCATTCTACCGCTGTGCCACTGAAACACGTGACTAGTCATACTTCATTCTAAAAATCGAAAGCTCCTGTTAGTACAGCACACGCTCTAGTTTATTTGTTTTAGGAAACTCATAGAATGACACACAAAAAGACAATCACTGGCTAACCAACTAGTCTTCTTTTTTCTCCTTCACCTTCCCAGTGGAACATACGGGGGGGGGGGCTTCAAGCTAGAAGGCTTGAAGTTTCTGTAGCAGTAGTGTTTATCTTTTACAGGATTGGGTTGCTAGCCTCATACCTAATCTTCTGTCTTTACCAGCTTTTATGACTGGCTTAGCGAGGTAAATGAGTGCGTCCGTGGCCGAGAATCGAACGCCGGAACATGTTCATGGTCGGTGAGTTGGCTAACCACTGTGCCACCGAAGCATCAACTAGTCTTTCTAATGTATTATTATTTGTGAAAAATTGAAACTCATTTAAGTAAGTTTAGTTTATCTATCTTAAGCATTGAAACCTACTGATTCGTTTTATAACATTTATTTGTATATATATATATATATATATATATATATATATATATATATATGACCGATACAAATAGCTACGGGTATACTAGAGTGTATGTAAGCAAATGTATATTGTGAGTATCCTAGAGTTGCATAGAGTCAGACTGCACACACTATAGGCTATATCGATTTTAATTGTAGCTAATGTTTACTCATCAATCCGAAAATCAAGAATGTTTGTATCTTTCGTTGCTTTTTTCACTGTCTTTCTCTAAAGCTTTATGTTATCTAGAGTTGTGCAAGTTTCAGTGTATGAGTGTATGCTGTGATTTATGCACCTATCCTCCGTGAACATGCATTTACACACACGCAGACACGCATACATACACTATATCATGCTCACATACATACAACACACACACATAGAGAGAGAGAAAGAGAAGCACGTGTACACAATGATTGTAATTCATCAATAACACAGTTTAATAGTACTACTACTACTCTACTAAGAATCAACGGTCGACTGTTTACAGTTAACTAAAACAACAAATGACCAATCTACACATACACACACACATACATATATACACCCAATTGATATTTTTATGTATAAATAAAAATGTATATAAATACTGTATCTCAAGTAGAACTACTTTCGTTGAACTCATTCACAGTAAACAATAATTGATCTTTGAAAAGCAAACATGGCGAGTACAATGGAACAATTCATTACAGCCTACTTGACAATTTGTCGTGAAGGTGATGATGTTGCTGATAAGAAAGAATTACTTGATTATTGTAGAAGAGAAAGAATTGATCCAAGAATGGTTGATGTAAGTAATGTTGCATTGTATTCATTTGATAAGAAATCCCTTTTTATATACTGATTACGTAACAGTGTAAATTTTAATTGTCTGTATTGTAAAGTGAATGAATCAGTCTGCCTGACATATGAGATTTTTGTTTACCCCGTAGAGGTGGATCGATAGATGTAACGACATGGCTTAGTTTTGGTTGAATTCAACTACTTGACAAGAAGGCTTTATTTCAGACGATATGTCAACATATAGTACGGGGATTTTCAGCGTATTTTGGTTCCAAATTATTTTGTTTTCGTACAGGATTTTACATTATTACTATTATTCCTTGCATATCGAATGGAATATAGGGCTTCAACGACACATCACCATTTCGCTCTGTTTTCTGACGTCCTCTTCATTTGGGGCCACGATTTTTGCCAAACTCTCTCATCTCTTCACCAAGACACACGATCTCCTTCATGTCACCGTTGATGTGACGACCCAATCAATGTCACTTCTCATTTGGATTCCACTTAAGGGCCAGGCATGAAATAATAAGAATAAGAGTTAAAGCAATATTGATGAATGAAAATTCTGATAGTCCAGTGATTTAAGCAGACCACTCAGCGGATTATCACATTATCACAAGGCAGCTTAATTCACAGATAACACACCTGTATACTTAATATTCTTTTGTACATTTGCACATAGGCATATAAATATTTGATCGATATAACCTACACTAACCACTAGCATTTGGTGAGCAATAAGCTTTTAAGGAGCTTCTGGATACACACATACACTATTATTCCCTAAGGATTTGGATAAATCTTAGGTTGATGGTTATTGCTTGATGATTTCATGAAATATTTATTACTTAATCAATTGTCTATTTGTTCAATAATTCTTTCATTGCTCAAAGTCTTTCTTTATCTTTTAATCTTTAATTTCTTGAAAAAATCTCTCTCTCTGCATTTTAGACCTGGATTTCTCATTTCGATGTTGACAAGAATAATAAAATCACTCTGGAAGAATTCTGTCGTGGTTTAGGCTTGAAACCAGCTGAAATGTAAGTCATTCTCAAAAGGTTTTATTAACAATGTGTTTAGTCAAAAGAGAAAATCACAGGCAAATATTGTGAATATTTTTGCGCGATAATATTCATAATAACTTTTATTTTTTATCCTTCACGTTCCCAGTGGGACATATGGGGGGGGTTCAAGCTAGAAGGCTTGAAGTTTTTGTAGCAGTAGTGGTTATTTTTTTTTAACAAGATGGGGTTGCTAGCCTATGCGTAACCTTCTCACTCTTTACCAGCTTTTATTACTGGCTTAGCGAGGTGAGTGGGTGCGTTGGTGGCCGGGAATCGAACGCTGGACTATGTGCATGATCGGTGAGCGTCCTAAACCGCTATGCCACCGACGTACATTCATAATAATAATTAGGTAGAATTTAATAGGATCAATAACTAGGTGACGATTAGGTACAGATTACTGTAAGTAGCTCTGTAGATTGAATAACTGTGACTGAAAAGAAAACTTATTGTTACTTCATTGCACAAGTACACTTTTTGAACACAAAATTAAGCTTGTAAATGAAAGTAAATGTGGAAATTTTATGTACCTCTGTGATTATTATTGCACCAGTAACACCATGTGATAATACCAGTGGGAACTTTAGCAGAAGCTTAATTTATGGTGATGTAACCTGATAACCTACTGATACCGAAGGGAATTTTGACACATTAAAGTTATGTGTAAAAGCATTCTGATATATACACAAATATATATATATATTTCAAACCTTCTTTTACTTAATCTGCTCATGACGTACTTCAAAGATTCTTAGAATTTCGATAGACTCCGAGGCACTTATTGCCAGAAAACAATATAAACTGAGGGCTCTTTGAAAACCCTAGAGTTTTAGACTGATAATTCTCCGAAATTTGCCAAAATGATTCTTCCCTAGTGGACATTGATGACTCTGTAAGAAATAAAGCTCAAATTATCACTGAGCTATTAGCCAACCATCAGGAATTGTGAAAAAGTAACCGGATCAACTGTAGCCCACTGGCTGAACAGTGATATATATATATATATATGTCAAAACTCTGTAGTTCTGGGTTCGCCACTTCATTGAGGAATCCTAAATTAAATTGTGACCCTCATTCATTACTGCATTAGTAAACAAGGTTTCTTTCAAATGTTCAGGATGGAGAAATAAACTTTTTACACAGATATTGTCTTTTCGATGATGAAAGTCAATGATCCGCCTTTCAGACAAGTCACACAGTGCTAGATTGATTGATAGCCTAACCATGTTCATAACCATGCTCACCAAAAAAAACAACTAAAACTACATTTAATTAGATTTAATTTATAATTTACCTAATTGTTTTTTTCATATTATAGGCGAGCTGAAAGAACTCATCTGAAAACTGTTCAATCCGGTAGAGCACCTAAAATACCGGATGGAATTGAAGTTATTGCTTCAACAATGCCAATACCAAAACAAGTTGAAATCACTCAGTTGTTTAAAGAAATTGCTTCTAAAGTTAGCGGAAATGATCCAGATATGCGTAAAGTTGCTAATGACTTTAAAGCAAAATTAGAAGAACGCTATGAACGTGTATGGCAAGTAGTTATATTAACTGGTTCTTATTGGATGAATTTTTCACATGAACCATTCCAGTCATTACAATTTAAACTTGACAAACATGTTGTACTTATCTGGCGTACACCAAACAATTAAGTGAATTTATGATTATATTACTATGTCAAAAAAAATAATAATAATCAATAGAAAGTGAAAAAAATATGACATCTCAGTTAAAAATATCAATATCATCAATAATAGCAGTAATAACTACAAGTTCAGAGGTTATTCAAAATTAAAAAAAACTTCTTTATCCCAAAACAAAAACAGCTAGCAAAATAACAATCATTTTTAACAAAAACAAAAATATTCCCCTTTTCAATTATGCAAACAAGTTTTATCGTATTCATAACAAGTTCTTTTTTTCGCTATCCAAATGTTATTAAATTAGTAAATAAATAAATAAATATATATATTTGTATTGTGTATATTCAACAGGATCTTTTCTCTTTTTCCATACGTCTTCGATTCGGTTTAAAAGAAGTTGGGAGAGATGTTGATTGTGTTCTGCATGGAACATAACTTTCCACAAGGATATTTCTATCGCACTGCATTCCTTTTATATTCTTTTTCTTTAACTAACATCATTGATTTTCATAATCTTTCATTTCATCTTCACCTGATATCTTCCATGTCACTTTTTTGGAAACTCAACTCACCACTTCTCATTAGGGTTCCTGGTCATTTGTTCAACTCATTTGGGTGATAGCTTCTTGACTGTTTCGTTGGTAGACTCACTTGTTAATTAATCCTTCCTTGTCAGCCATTTAATCTTAGGTACGAAGGCAATGAAGGAGGATTTTGATAAGCGTCTGGAGTAGCCTGTTGCAGATGCTTTTTAAAATACCTGCTCCAATTCTCTGGGCCATAGGGAAGCACAGATTTGGTACAGGTTTTGAAAAACACGGGTCTTGTTCCTTATGCCGAATGCACTCGATCCCGATACTGATTTAATGCTGATGAAAGTCTTTTTGATAGTGTTATTAGAAGCCGGAGATTATCTGAAAAGCGATGTGATGTATTTGTGCTATACATTTAGAACAATCTGATCACACATTTACTTGTCACGTCGATATATATGAAAAAGTTAGATTAAACAAAGTGACAAAAAAAGGGATTTAAGAATGATTAACACAAGGTTTGGTAATCCAATCAAATAAGCATTACCAGGGTACGTTAAGAGTAATAACAAACTGCTTTCGAATACACAAGGGGGGGGGTCAAGTTTATGAGTAGCTATAGCCTCAGCATATTTTAGTAAACGCCCCTGACCGTTTTTGCAGATGACCTTAAAGGCTGAGTTAACACCAATCTTATGGTACATTTCGATTAGATGTTAAGCTATAGACACAATTCATTTGTTTTTCTAACCATTTCGGGATATGCTCTCCCACCCTCACATGCAAAGCGCGATTACTCCTCCCCATGTATGTGTGACCACACACACACACACACGAAAACTGGTAAATAGTGTGGGATGTAACATCATCACTTATGCACTTTTGAGGTTTGCAATGGAGCATATTTTTAGCTTTTTTCGACAACTACAAGCTGGGCTGCGTAGTAGGTTCTACGGATGATCGAATTCAACCTCTGTCTCAAAATCCTACTATCCATTTCCCCGTTATACGGCAGTTTGATGAAAACATTTTTCTTAGGGACGGTATGGATTGTAGGTTTAGACACTAATTGACTTCTACACCTCCGTTTTTAACAAGAGTATCCACCAATATTTCGTTTTCTTTGTCAATAACATCAGCCGTGCAAATACGCTGAATCCTCTTAAATAGACATTTCATCAAGCCTCTCTTATACTGTAATGGACAGATACTGTGGAAATTACGGTATTGCCCTGTTCAAGTGGGCTTTCTGTAGATAGACCGTCTTATTGAGCCATCATCTCTCTGACTCAGAAGTATGTCTAAAAATGCAAGCTGGCTGCAACTTTCTTCCTCGCATGTAAGAGTAATATGAGTCTGTACAGAGTTAAGTCTGTCTCATAGATGACTTGCGTCTTCATGATCGTCGCTTATCAAAATGATATCATCTACATATGTCCTATAGAAGGGGAATTTAGAAATTAAAACAAGGGATAAGTTTTTAACATAAGACATGTAAACGTCCGCTAACAAAGGTCCTAATGGACTCCCAATAGCAACGCCATCCACTTGTCGAAAATGTTTACCTTCAAACGTGAAATGGACGTTATCAGTATATACATATATATTGACTTGACAAGTAAATGTGTGAGGGATCAGATTAGTCGAAATGGATAGCGCAAATACATCACATTGCTTTTCAGATAATCTCCGTCTTCTTTCTAATAAACGCTATCCAAATTTATAAAAATGCCTAATTTTTTTAAATGATGAAAGTCTGTCTCGTCTTCCCGATTACGGCTGACTGCAATGCCCTCATCTTTTCCGCGTCTAGTTGAAACGATATTGCTTAGGTAAATGAGAAAAGTGGCCTTCTTTAAATTTCTCCTGTTGATAACTGATGCCTGTTGTTGTTGTTGGTGGTGGTGGTGGTTAGGTTTCTTCATCACCTCTGTCTTTTATTTATCCAATTGAAGCCATGTTATCGTCGCCACATCTGCCAACTTGTTGGTTTTTGCCAGGTGATTGTGCAGTTTATATGAAATCATGCACAGTCTCCTCAGTCTCTCCTCACCAGTCAAATTTACGCCCATCTTCTGGCTACCCACTGACTGTTGTGTGGTGTACTGCACCACAGAGAGGTGCATATCATAAGAGCAAGTGAAGGAGGCCTAATTATCAGGGGAGGGGTTAAACAAAAGAAACACTCGACAGATCACTTTAAAGGATTCCTGAATCAACCATCACTTGAAACTCTTCTAGAAATAGCATCATTAGCTACAAAACTGATAGTGACCACCAATCTTCCAACAGAAGCAGAAATTCAAGTATTGAATTCAAGTATTGGTTTGTAGGGATTTAGTTGATTGATTACAGGATTTTATCATGAGCTAACATTGGTTACAGGATCATTATAAAGCCTGCAGGAAGTACTGGAGAGCTGTTTCGTCCTACTCTGTGACTATTCAACAGTACGCACCCACCGAAGGGGTTCGAACCCAGCACCTTCCAGTTACAAGGCCAGCTCGTAGACCATGAAGCCACTGGGACCCGATCCAATGGCCAGCCCATGAATTCTAACTTCTGCCAATTCACAGCATAGTGCGATCACTAGCCAATGTCTTCGGTGGCAGGTATTTGTCCACACACTCAACCTGCTGTACCCTACTGGTCACGACTTCTCACCAAAACCCCATGTAACTACCTACCTGAATAGGGCTAGTCGCCAGTGAGCATCTCATTGATATTCAAGTATTGGTTTGTAGGGATTTGGTTGATTGGTGACAGGAATTCATCATGAAGGTCCTGGGTTCGAAGCCCGGTGGGTGCGTACTGATGAAGAGTCCCAAACTTGGCCGACGAAACAGCTGTTCAAATCCCGAAGCCAAAGAAGCAGAAATATTGAATATCATAAAGTTACTCATAGCCAGAAAATCAGAAGGATCAGGTAGAGCCAATATACCATGCCACGTTATTTTCAGTAACAGTATACTAATTAGTCGATCGAAGATAACAGCTTCTAGTCAAACGAATGCCAATGCAGCATAAGTATAGTTAATCATATTACGTCAGTATATTTCCAATAAGCATTAACACCGATTAAGTTTATTAAAGTTTAAAACATTTCAAGTATTTCTGCTAAATAAGTACTGACTTAGCGTCGGTAGCACAGCGGTTAGGACGCTCGCCGACCATGCACACGGTTCATGGTTTGATTCCCGGCCACGGACGCACTCCTTTGCCTCGATAAGTCAGTAATTTGACTGGTAAAGAGGAAAGGTCGAGCTTGAGGCTAGCAACCTCGTCCTGTAAAAATAAACACCACCGCTACAGAAACTTCAAGCCTTCCAGCTTGAAGCCAACCCCTATGTCCCACTAAGGAACGTGAAGGAATGAAATAAAAAGTACTGACTTAGAAAACACAAATCTTCAGGAAAATCTTGTTTTCATTTTACAAACACACTGAAGAACATAGTTAACATTTTAAGAATCCTTTCGCCATCAGTGGATAATCTAAATGTAATTGTTTAATTTAATTGTTCAATTAAGGCATTTAGTCAGTATTAGAAAGGTGTTTTTTTATTATGATTATTCCTGATTGGTTCATACTGCTTGAATAGGTAGCAACCTTCTCGGCGAAAACATGACATTTTCTGGCTGTGTTGAATTGAATTGAATTTAAAGCTTCACAAATATGTTTTGATAATGATGTTAACTGCAGTTTACCACTGTAGGCTCATCTTATTTGATATTTCGTTTACTGCTTTTAAACTGGCAAGTGATTCAATGTGTAATTGATTTCATCTGGGTATTTGACAAGTAGATCCTGTGTTAAATTGAGGTCAAGTTTGTAAGAATTATCTTTCTTTAAGCGGTCAGAATTCTTCTAGTTCTTCTTCTTCTTCTAGTAAAACGAGAGATGAAAAAAAGAAAGACGTAGTGTACTCCGTGACAAAAGACAACAGACAAATTAAATGCAAGAACAGAATTTTCTATAGTTTGGTTTGTAAGGGTTAGTTATGTTTTTTCCGAGTTGATCACGATTTTTAACAGTGTACCTTGTTGTCAGATGGTCTCAAAGTTATGCTTTCCTAACTTCATTTCAATGCATGCATTCTGCATACACGTGAAAACTATATCTCCCATAGCCTCTTAGCTCTAAACATCTCGTCAACTCAGTCCTATTTGAACCTCTTTTGTAAACTGAGATATTCATAGAGAATTGAAATAATTTCGGTGTCTCTTGTCCACTGTGAGTGTTGTGTATCCTTCGAACATTATTCAGCGTAGTTGATAACTAGAACTCAAGATATATGCAGATCAACAGGAATTTCGTAACATTTCGCAAAAGCAAACAAACACTGAATGTACGGATGACTTAAAAATATACACCGATGAAGTTATCAGTTAACACCCTTCGCATATTATCCTCTTGCTTCACATGACATGATATTGACGAAATCATTAGACATTGGATTATACGGAAAGTGCAAATATAGTTCATTGTCCATAGTTAAGTGTTTCGAGCCCCTCTTTATGATATTTGTTGGTGGATTACTCAATACTCACAATGGATTTTATTATTATTGTTCCCTTGGGTTCCTAGTGGAACATAGGGCTTCAACTCCACGTCTACACTTGCTTCTGTCCTCCTTCTTCTGTACTTTTCACCTGCATCCATCTTAGTCCATACTGTTTCAAATCCTCTTCACACGATCTCCTTCATGTCACCCTTGCACTGACGACCCTGTCGCCGCTTCCCTTTCGGGTTTCACTCGAGCAATGGCCTGACGCGCGCGCGATGTCACCCGGTGGCCTCCTCAGCAAGTGTTCAA